TTTTTTTTTTTTTTTTTTTTTTTTTTTAATACATCTTTGTTCTTTTCTTTTCTCTGGTACTGGGGATTGAACTCAGGGCCTTGTACCTGCCAGGCAGGCGCCGCACCACTGAGCTAAATCCCAAATCCTAAATTGCTTTATGTCTTTTGCCCACTTTTCCCTTGGTTGTTCCTTTTTTTCTCGTGATTTACAGTTTTCTAGGTTTTTGTTTTTTGTGGTACTAGGGATCCAACTATAAAAGGAGCTACATTTCAAGTCCTTCTTTAAAAATTGTTTTATGTTGAGACTGAGGCCTGAACAGGACTTGACGGTGCAATCCTCCTGCATCAGCTTCGTTCATTGCTGGGATTACAGACATGTACCATACGGTTATGAATCTGGATACTCAAATATGTTACAAATAGCTTCTCCTGGTCTGTGACTTGTCTTGACATTTTCCAAACGAGTGTTTTCAGAAATAATTGTTTTAAGAAATTTTAATGTAGCTGTATTTGTCAAACTTTACCTGTATGGCCAGTGCTCTGGGAATCTTAGGAAATCTGTGCCTATCCTCTAGGCTGCTTCTTGCAGAGTGACTGCACCATTTTCCTTAACAGAAGGTGGAGTTTATTTCCCTGCCTTTTGAATCTGAGCCAGCACTGTGACCTCCTTCGGCCCACAGATAGAAAAGACACTCTAGGATTTCTGAGTGTCGGCCTCACAGATCTACTCTCATTCTCTCCACACCCCATGAGCAGTATGCTGGGAAGAAGACCATGTGATGAAAGATCAGCAAGAAGAGAGAGGCTCAGATGGTCCGGGAGCACAGTGAACCTGCCAGCAGATTCACCCACGAGAGTGAGCCCAATGGCACCAGCAGAAGAGCCACCCAGCCAACGCCTCCAACGGTGGGAAATAATGAACCTGGGGTAGGTTTAAGCTTCTAGTTCTGAGTTGGCTACGCAGCAAAGGCTACCTGAAACTACATCCAACTTCAAAGCCATAAATATATTTTATAAAAACAAAACTCTATAATGTACAGGGATCTTAAAAAAGGTTTTCACGTTTCAGCCTTCAATCCATCTGGATTTTAATTTTTCATATGCTTAATCTAGCCAAAACACATTTTCAACAGGCAACCATTATTTTTACATAACAGATGACATATTTTACATTGTTTTATTCCTGCTAAGTCTTCAAACTCTGGCGTATACAGTATTATGGCTTTATAGCACTTCTCAATTCCTGCTAGTCGTGTTTCAAGTGCTCAGTAGCCTCACATGACTAGTGGCTACTGCACTAGACAGAGCAAGGCCAGCACACTTTTTATAGGACTACAGCTTTGAGGTACCACAGAGACTACTACCACCTGACTACAGGATTCTCCCGTGGGAGGGACATTTGCATGCCACCATCATTATGTTCGACAGACTGCAAACCAATGTTTCCTAGTTACTGTCGTCTCACCTGGGGGTTCTTGTGAGAATTAGAAAAAGGCACCTCGTCTTCCCAGTGCATGCAGTCCCATGACAGGGCACATGGTGTGGCAAGGGGCTCTTAGGCTGTGCGTCGGCCCCCGAGAGATGAATAACCTGCACAATTATGTGTAATAGTTCTGTTGTTAGCATTTGACATTTTTCCTTAAACATCCACTCTCTTTTTAGAAACAGAAACCTTCGTACTTTAAATAGAAAAACAGTATCATTTCCCATAAAGAGAAGATCATCTTAAAATTACAAAAACAATTGATGTTATGCTATTGCCTGCCAAAGGTTCTGGGCTTCAGCCTAAGCCATGTCTCTATTAAACACAGAAAATCAGCAACTATTAAACAGCATAGTGCAAATTTACCCTAGGTACAATCGGTTGAATGAGAAAACTGAATAACTTTCTTACTATGTGACAATGTTCCCAGAACACCTCCTTTGGAAAACACTAGAAAGTATGTAGAAGTGCATAAAGAATTCTACCTTGTACAGCTAATGACAAAAACAGCCACCACTGAGGAAGATCCTGTTCCATGCACCACGGTAACATGTAGACATCCTCATCCCGTTTTAATACTTATAATAATGTCAAGTGGGAATCACCAGCCACAGTTGAAGAAACTGAGGCTCAGCTGGCTGAATCAAGGTTATAGGACATCAAAATGTACTCTAAAATTCATCCTTTAACCACTAGGCTCATCTTGTAAAATCAATATTCCTGGGAAAGGGCTTTTTATGGGCCACTGATGGACAGGATCCTTTATGTCCCTGGATGGAAAAAGTTCACAGGACACAGTCCCCATATGTGTCCCCATACCAAATTCCCTTTGTGCAGCCAGAGCAGTCTCGACTGCAGACCCTCCTGGATCTCCCTGAAGGAGGCCACTGAACTCCCTGCAAATCCTCTTAGGAATAAGAGTCTAGCACAAAAATAGCTGCAAGTAATCCTTTCCTGGACCCAGGGAGTGGTAGCTCTGCAATAATTCAGGTATTTGAATTGCAGTATTCAGCTGTTACTAGAGCCCAGATAATCCTTTTATGAGTCCCCAAAAGAACTATAAGGTAAATGCATTTTTGCCAGGATAGAATCATAAGAAAACATTTTTCTAAATTCTACATGGCAGAGTACAACAGTCAAGATGTTTTGGACTAAAACCACATGAGAAACAAGATGCACAATATGGTCAGATGAAAGCTGGGAAAGAACACTCCTGCTCCTCAGACATGATGCTGGCAGAACTCCAAACCTTCACTCCCGAGACAGGTAACAAGGGCAGGTTTCCCAGATAGGAGGCGAGGACCCAAGAGAGAAGGAGATGGCAAAGAAGGGAAGGGGTGGCATGATGGGAGACACGCCAGGCAGGGACAAGAGCAGGACCAAAGGTTCAGGAGGCAGGCTCCCTGCAGGCACAGAAGACCCAAGTGGATTTTATTTTAAACTAGAATCCAAGCAGAGCCAAACATGATGACACACATCTATAATGCCAGCACGCTTGGAGACTAAGTCGGGAAGATCACAAGTTGAAGACCAGCCTAGACAACAATACCCTGTCAAATTTTAATAAAAACAGCTAGGGTTCTGCTGCCTGCCTCACAAGCACAAGGTCCTGAGTTCAATCCCCAATACCAAAGAAAGAAAGAAAGAAAAACAGCTAGGGATAGATCAGTGCAAAGGCCCTAGGTTCAATTCCCAGTAGCACACACACAGACACACAGACACACAGACACACACACACCCAAGCAGAGGACTATAGGTATACCTGAGACAGAACATACACACTGCACTCAAGAGGCCCATGGTTCTTTCCCCAGAACTAAAATTAAAAAAAAGTATCCAAGTGCAGCAAGTCAGAGAGGGGTACAGTAGCAGTAGCAAGGGAAAGAAAGGCGAGAATACCACAATGAAACATTCAAATCACAAGCACAAAGTGTATAAACACACAAGGTTCTCAGTAAGCACTGCCACTGCTGCTGAGTCTCATGTGATCTGCTTTCTCTTGGACATCAGTCCTCTTGGTTGGCAATGACTGAATCTGAGATTAGGAGCACAGCCCAGCACTATTCTCAATTCTTCTGTCCTAGAGTGAACAATATGTAATAATATCCTACAATCTGGTGCTTAATGCCACAGAATAATTCATATGTGTGAATAAATGTTTAAAAATAATTTAATATGGGGCTAGGGGTTTAGCTCAGTGGTGCCATGTATGACTCAAAGGTGCAAGGTCCTAAGTTCGATCCCTGGTACCGAAAAAAAAAAGTTAATATCCTGACAGGTTTACTTGAACAAATTAGTCTTCCATTTTAAAACAATATGCAAATAAGCTGGCTGTGGTGGTACAAACCTAAAACCCCAGCACTTGGGAGGCTGAGGCAGGAGGAGCTTGAGTTTGAGGCCAGCCTGGGCTGCCTGGTAAGTTCAAGGCTGGCTTGGACTGCACAATAAAAGCCCATCTCAAAACAAAACAAAACAAAAACAAAAACAAATCGACCTTTCCTTATAAAACTAGAAAGTGGGCCAGGGATTTAGCTCAGTTGCACTGTGCCTGCCTTGCAAGTGCAGGGTCCTGAGTTTGATCCCTGGTACAAAAAAACAAAAAAACTAGATAATGAATTATCTTATAAAATTCCTTTAGGGGTTGGGGGCTCAGTTGTAGAATGCTTGCCTAGCATGCAAGAGCTAAGTTTGATCTCCAGTACTACCATCAGTCAATCACCTATAAGGGGAAAAAAAAAATCCATCCCTGCCTGGGCTTAAATGATGGGATAATTTACAGGAAGTCCAGTGAGTTAGTCAAAGATACCCAATACCCCTCTCCATGAGTCATCTGAGGTCACTCTATGAGCAGGGGAGCCATGCGATGCCTTCAATTAGGATGGTACTTTATGAGGCAACGTGCACACTCATGGTTTGTGGTCCCTAACCGTCCTGCCAGACCGGATAACTCTAAGTAGTCAGGAACCATCTGGTGACAACATGCAGCCCAGCTCAGCAGAAAGTAGCACAAGGAAGTCTGTGCCTCCCAGAGATATACTCCTTGCCAAAATACCTCCATTGTGGTTGCTTCTACCCTTCCAGAGCCCTCACCAAAGCCACTACAACTGATAAGCAGTTGGTTTGTGATTCAAGAAAAAGGAAAATGTTCTATTCATCTATCTGTAATGCCAATGGGAGCAACTTGGCGACATAATGTATGTTGTCATAGTCACTTGTGTCCTTCTGGTCTGTAACAACCTGTCCACATTAATCTTAAAGCCTCTCAGTAAAGCTTCAAGCCCTGTATCTTGCTCACTGTGGACATGCACTGTCATCCAGCTGCACAAAGTAACAGTGGGGTTTTAAGAGGAAGCTCAACCTTCCAGGGAGAGATTATCTCTCACAGGATCTGGAAATCCACGTCTGGTCAGGCACAAAGGCAAACAGCCCAAAACAAAAAGGGCACTCAGAGCTGGCCAAATACAACAACAGCTGGAATGTGCAAGGTTACAAAGGGAGAAAAGGTCCCAGGCCTGGAAGCAAGGTGAAACCACAGAGGGAGCAGGCCAATTTGGAGGAGCAAAAGCACTCCTCAGAATGCCAACCCACCACCTTGTTCCTGAAGTTGTAGGTAGAACCTCCGTGCACCCATCTCTCTGCCAGTAAGTATCTTAGGCAGAAAGGCAGGAACTCCGAGAGCCACTTGTTAGTGCTTCTCAGGTGTATACTCAACAAGACAAATCAAGTCCAGATTCTTCTGAACTGAATTCTTTCAGGTCTGAGGTCTATCATCTATCACACATAGTCACATTCCTCGGTGTCTCTATGAGAGGATAAAGTTATTGGATACCAGCCTAATGCTGGCAAGTAATAAATAGGGAGACTCAACAGAGCAGGTACTGCAGAAACACTGAACAGCACACAGACACATCAGTTACACAGACCTAACGGCCCCTGTATGAGGACAACACAATCCAAAAGGCACCTGAAAGCAGTCAAGCCTTGATCCCCAGCCCGAGGCAGACATTACTGCCTGGCAGAATGATTTCAGGTGATAAGTCAAGATTGGGAGAACTCACCCAAGGTATAAGTTAGGAATATAAATCTGTCCAACCGCAGGGCCCCAACTGCTTTGTCACTAGGATTGGTGAGGAGATGCATCTGTTGTCACATCCTCTTCCTCCTCCAAGGCCTAAGCACTCAGCCTCCTGGATCTTACTCCCATCTGTCCTCCTGGATCAAAGTGATCCTTCCAAAAGCGGCGGCCCCCCTCCAGTCCTTATCAACTTAATTCTCAATCTCTATTTGGTTTGAGGGTTTCTCGCCTGTGGCTTCCGTCCACTTTTGTAGCCTCATCATCCTCAGCTGTCTCCAAAAAGATGAGTTCTGCTTCCTTTCACCTGTTTTTGTCCTGAAAAACCACTACTTCCCGTGAAGACTATGGTCTGTAGATGGCTGAGACTCTCTGGAGAACGGCCAAGGCCCAGAGCAACCAAGCTCTGCCTACAAACGGTCAGTTCAAAAAGGTTAAAGGACAGACCCCTGAATGACAGTGATTCCGGGGGCCAGCGCTCCAACCTCCTCGGCTGCTTCAATGCCAGGCCTCGCATGGAGGATCTCAAAATGCTGATAAGGCCAGTCAAGAGCTGCATTGTTTAATTATAACAGGACCTTCTCTCACTGAAACCCATAAACTTGAAAATTCCAGCTCACGTACACCCTGATATTCCCTCTAGTCTTTCCGCCTCTCGTTCCCAGAATGTCCTAAAGCCTTAGTGAAAAATGCCCCACTTGCTCCCACCACCTAGTACAGTCCGAGGGTGCCTGAGTCCCCTGCACTGCAAGGGGCAGCCAGAAGGGTAGGGCCTGGCTCCCACACCGCTGGACAGTCCCATTTTAACGAAGAAACTAACAGGCTCCGAGTCTAGAGGATCCCTTGGTGCCGAGAATTTTCAAGAAGTAACCTTTACACTGGAGAAGAGGAGACACCGCCCCAGAGAAGGCAGGCAAGCAGGTAGGCAGGGATTCCCCGACTACCCGCATCCTCCCCGGGGACCCCCGATCTGCAAGCACAGCCAGGACCTCAACCCCACCCCCGCCACAGCACGCACCAGTAAACCGCGCCGGGGACTCCGGGCGAGGAGCGACGGCCCCGCCCACTGCCCCCAAAGAAGAGCTCCCTGACCCACGACCCGCGGGCCGGTCGTGGAGTCGCCAGGGTCAAAGGGAGCATTCTTCGCGCGGCCCTCCGCTTCCCTCTGGAAACTAGGGCTCAGAAGTCAGAGCGCGCCCGACCGAGGACAGGGCAACCCGGCCGGCTAGGGGCCGGGGCCCAGCAGCACAGCCCGGGGCTCTGGTTCCAAGAGAAAGGGACTCCTCCCCGCCCGCTCCCGGGCTCCGCCTGGCCTGCGGGCCAACACGTCCGGAGAAATGGGCGGCGCGAGAGACAGGCCAGAGCACACTTACTTAAGAGCTACATACTTCCACTCCCCATGTCTGGGCTGCGGAGGAACCTCGCGAACCCTTAGTTGGGACCTCAGCGCCCACCACTCCAGCGCGGCAGCTCAGTGTTGCAACCCACCCCCTTTACTCTACCGTTGGGCGGAGCCGAGCTCGGGCCAGCCCAATGACCGGCCGTTCTTATTCCGAGTGACGTGCATGCAGAGCAATCATAGAGTCGGCCCAAGCGAGGGTGGGACTCAGGCGACTCCCTTGGCTTCCTACTCAGGCTGGCCCCGCCCCAAACCACCGACTGCGCGTGCTCAAAACCGGAGGGGCGGGGCCGAGGGTTGCTCAGACACGAGGGGTGGGGTCCGAGCTCCGAGGCTACTGGTATGCGGGAAGGAGGACCCACCCGGAAACTGCTGGACTCGCGGGTCGCTCTGACCCGCACGCTTTGCAAGACATAGGTGGTCGGCTCTGACAGGCGCGCGCTCTGTTGCTGCCATTGTTCTTGGATTCTAGTCCTCTCACTTCCATGAACTCCGCACGAACTAAACTCTCTTTTTAGTAGTACCAGCGTCTCAGTTTCCTCATCCGCAAAACAGTGAAAGGTTGCCGGCTGTTTTGGCGCACACTTGTGATCCCAGCACTAAGGGAGGCTGAGGCAGGAGGATCACAAATTCCAGTTCCCTCCTGGGCAATTTAATGACACCCTGTCTCAAAAAAGAAGGCTGGGTGTGTAAAGGCCCCGGTACCGCCCCCAACCCCAGGAAATCTTGAATCTGCCGAGGGCTAACGTCCCAGACCTGGGGGGCAAGGGAGGGCGTGATAGGAGACTCGCACGTGACCTCGCAAGCTGGCCACGCCCACCCCGGTCGCTGCTCGGGGTGGGGGGACCCCGCTAGGACAGGCGAGGGCGGGCGGGTCCTCGGAAATTGGCCG